TGTGTGTGTTTCTATGTATGTGTTTCTGTGTGTGTGAGTGTGTGTGTGTGTATGTATGTCAGTGTGTGTATGTGTGGGGTGTGTGTGTGTGTGTGTGTGTGTGTGTGTGTGTGTGTGTTTGTTTGTGCCCGTGTGTGTTTCTGTGTGTGTGTCACCAGTGTGTGCGTGTGTGTGTGTGTGTATGTGTGCGTATGTGTGTGTGTTTGTGTGTTAATATGTACACACAATAGATAACTGGGCCACCGCTACAGCAGGCAGATAAAATATGATGTGTCGAAACACCACGGGGTTCTGTCGTAAGGTGTGTGGGGAAAACACCTGGACCTGGGACATTCCCGCGCTTATCTGGCAGGCCTGGCCTGGGAGTTGCGCAAACACAGGGTGAAAAAGGGGGTTGGGGGTGGGTGGGTCCCATGGGCACAGTCGGTGGGTCCCATAGGCACAGTCACTGCGCTTATAGCAGCAACAACTTTAGCAGCGGTAGCGGTAGCAATGATAATAATAATAATAATAATTTTAAAAAGAATAATAATAATAATGATGATGATGATGATGATGATGATCATCATCATCATGATGATGATATTAATAATAATAATAATAATAGTATTGTCATTGGGTCAAGCCGCGACTGTCTAATCTCTGGTGACGTCACAGGCCGGGTCAGGTGAAGGGTCAGAGGTCAGGGGTCAGCGGTCACCCGTCCGAACACTGGTCCTCACACAGCCCTCGCAGGGTCGAGCGCCTCTGGTGAAGGGTCAGGCACCTCGTTGTCGCACATACTCATACTGTGCCCGAACAACATAGGGGGAAATATTAGATAGCCTTTATATAGCGCAAATCCCCGCTCAACAGCAAGCTCTATGCGCTTCATAATCTATACTATTACCCCAGCAGACCTGAGAGCATTCTGAAACAAACTCAACTCCCTGGGAAGCATACAGTGCAAGCAGCCATTTGTAGGCGCTAAAACACTAACATACTGACAATATCTTTCGCTGCCTATTGCCGGGTACCCATTCCCACCTGGGTGAAGTGAGGAAAATTTGTGTAAAGTGCCTTTCCCAAGGACGCAACGTCGGACCCGCGGCTCGAACCCCCGACCTCGCAACCTCACAATTACGAGTCCGGCAGCCTGACCACTAGACCACCGACGCCATGCTCATACTGTGCCGAAACAACATAGGGGGAATTGCTGCTTTTTCTTTCATCATTCTTACTATCGTCATTTTTCCCTCTACCTCTTTTGTATGCCCGCTATTTCCGGGGTGCTTTGACAGTCAAAGCAGACTTAATTGTGCTGTTGAGGGTAGAGGGGTGAGCAAAGTAAGCCTGATTCCCCGATTGGATTTTTTTCTGTTGACCTCCACCCCGTGGCGGTCATATGACCTTATGCAGTTGCGAGAGCCGTAAATACTCTACTAAAACTAATGACAGAGACTTTCACGAGTAAGAATTCAGCTCCTGTTATTACGTGCACTGGGGTGCCCCCCCCCCCGTAACTACCTGTACAATACTGGGGGCTCTCGTGGCCTAGAGGTTAAGGTGCTCGCCTTTCATTCAAAAGTCCCGGGTTTGAATCCGGGTAGCGACGGAAAATATTTTCATCTCACCTCTTTTCCCGCACCCTCCTGTGGGCTCCTGACTCTTTCTGCAGCCTTTCTACTGCTACTCTTTGGCTCCTTCTTACTGCTGCCACACCCCTCATCTTCTAGTAAGAGAGATCTACACCAAGCCTTCTGGGACAAGACCGAAAAATCTCTGAAGTCCTGTGTGCAAGGTGCGCATGTCAAAGAACCCTTGGTGGTCTAAGATCAATAACAGTAGGCATCGGTCGCCACCCGGGCAAAAATCAAAATGTCCTACCAACTGAAAATGTTTAGTGAGTCCAGCGCGCTCATATCACTTTGTGCAGTTGCGAGCGCCGCCGTGAAACACGTTTCAAAATAAAAATAAAAACAAATAAAGAATGCTGAGAGATCGGTCTGTCCCACTCATGGGGTTACTCGTTAAGACACCCACACCCCCACCCCAACCCCCTTACTCCCTAATCCACCCTCCCCCCTAAAAAAGAAATAAACTTTAACTTTAAAATGATATATAATTGTAAGTTATGAAAATAAAGATGAGCAAATTATAATGATAACAACAACTAAACGACAAGAAGGAAAGAAAAAGACAAAGACAAAGACAAAGACAAAGACAAAAAAAAAGACAAAGACAAAGACAAAGACAAAGACAAAGACAGAGACAAAGACAAAGACATAGACAAAGACAAAGAAAAAGCGGCAACAAAGTAGGTCGACCAAAAACAGACCCAAAAAAACACAAAATTATCCTCAACCCTCATGCATGCTCCCATGTGTCTGTCTGTCTATCATCAACTCTCGTGCATGCTCTTATTATGGTGTGCAGCACTCACTCAGGCCTGTCAAGTGTCTCATGAGCCGTGAATCCCGCCACATCCTGGCCCCGGTTGTTGGCGGAAACTGCACCCTGTGTCAGGACGTGACATACACATCCATGTCCTCATTTTGTTGGGGGGGGGTTCGTGG